TAGATATTTTATGAAATGTAGAAACCGTATGACTATATCCATTGCATCAGTTTTAAGTGGTTTGAACTCCTTTTGTATAAATTCACAAAATCATTTGTGTTTGGCTTGTACTCTCCCCCTAAAAACATTAAAACCATAAAAGCATAGGGATATGAAATCACTGTTGGTTGCGTGAAATGTCGGACAACGAAACTGGAAATGAGGTCCCTCGGGTTGATGTACGCGGCACTTAACGGGATCCTAATAACAATTAAATACATATATGTATTTTATTAGCGAAACCATTATTTATAGTGTTGGAAAAACACTTGCTTTTGGTTTAGGAATGTTACCAGGACTCGATTGAATCGGAGAGAGCGGGTTTTCAACCAAGTTCACCACTTAGGAAGGTTTGCGGCCGTGAAAGGGATTACGGCCATGAACTGTTCTCGGCCGTGAACAGCCCCTTGAAGGGTTTACGGCCGTGAACGGTGTTCTTGAAGGAAATATGAATTTTTGAAGGGTTCACGGTCGTGAACGGTTTGCGGCCCTTGAAGGTTTGAAGTTTTGAAGGGTGTACGGCCATGAACTCAAGAACAACTATGTTCGATCTTGATGAAAAACGAATGTTTTGATGCTCCACAGCGAGTGTCAAGGTAGATAGAGTGGTAGATGAAGAGAAATCTTATGTCTTCTTGTGTTTTCGGGTGATGACTTTTAGAGAGAGAGTGTGTGTTCGCGGCCAGAAAAGTATAAATGAGGGTAGGAGTCACGTATATATAGCCTGAGAGTATGGTCGGTGGAAGGGCCCAGCCGTGAACGGGTTTACGACCGTGATCGGGTTCACGGCCGTGAACACTAGTCAGGTCGGAGACTGCTGATTTTTCGAAGGACACTCGGGTTTTTCATGCGATTTTGGTTCCGACTCATATATAAAATTCAATTATATAACTATAATGATTTTCCAAACCAAAGGAATTTGACGGAACTCAATAAAATTCAAATTTTTATTTGACGGAATCGGGTTAACATTAACGGAAAAAAGTTCGGGTTGCCACATAATCCAAGAAATACAATTTGTAAATCAGGTCACTTTCAAATTCGAAACACAGAAAAAAAAAATATACCTTGTTGTTTTGTGTTCTTAAGAGATAGAACAAATCAAAATATGATTTTCGTGTATATGAGTTCCCAACCTTTTTCTGGAACCAGAGAAAGGATCTTATACTGGAGGGAAAAAGAGGTTATAGCGGTTGCTAGGGGTGTTGATCGGGTAATTTTTTCGGGTTTCGGGTAATTCGGGACGGGTAATTCGGGTTTTTCATGTTAAAAAAATACCCGTTACCCGACCCAAATTAAATTCGGGTAATTCGGGTTTGGGTAATTCGGGTATCGGGTCGGGTTTGGGTAATTCGGGTATTACCCGAAATATATAATTTTTTTTTGAATTTCACCTGAAAATAAATTTAATGAAATAAATACGTCGTGCTTAATTAGTCTTGTTTATATAAACAAACGAAACATAAACGAAATTACTCAAGCTTTGAACATTGAGATTTTTTAGTCAATAATACCTGAGATATCAAGTAATTTTTTAACAACTTAATCTAATCTAATAAAATGTTAAAAAAACAAATACTTAAAGATCTTAATTTAAAAGTTTAAAATGTTTAAGATAATTGTAGCCATAAGTTTTGTCATGTTCTGAAGTTTCGTCAAGATAATGAGTTTGGTAGTTGCAATAAAAACTATAATCTAGAAAACAGTTAAGTTTTAAAGAACATGATGATATATAAACAATTACTTTTAATATTGCTAGTGTCATATTGTCATAATAAAAGAGACCCATGTTTTACAATAATGATAGTTAGTTTAAGCGAGATCAAATACCTGCTACAGAGTACAAGCTTTACGAAAAAAAGGAATTTTTAAAATAATTCGGGTAATTCGGGTATTCCCGAAATTCCCGAAACCCAACAAACGTACCATTTACCCGACCTGAAAAAAAATCGGGTTACCCGATTACTCGATACCCGATTTACCTGGCCCGATTTACCCGATACCCGAAAAAAATGGGCGGGTAATTCGGGTATCGGGTATTTTCGACAGGGCTAGCGGTTGCTTCCAGATTTGGCGCCAAAACTGGTAGTTATGAGACATAACTAACGCTTGCATCATCAAGATGTCATCAGGAGCGTTTTGGCAGGAACCACCACCAGGGGCTCTGCCCCTTGGACCCCGTTAGGGTGCTGACCCCGCCAAGGGGCTGCACCCCCTTGGAACCCTACACCCAAGGGCGCTGCCCTCGGACCCTTGTATTCCCGAGTTCACAATTATCACACCGAGTGTGCACCACCGCACCTTCAAGCTCGGTTAGTAAATGAAGCTCAACCTATCTCAATATTAATAATAATTGCACCAAAATATGTTGATAACACTAAAATCACCAAGTCGTCGGACCATCGAAGCTACCAAGGTGTCGCCGCCCTGCCAGACCACTAAAGCTACCAAGTCGTCGCCGTCGTCGGACCACCCTAACTAAGAACTCACCACCTTTGTCTCCCTCTTTCTCTCTCCATTTCACAATCAAAAAACACATGTCTATCTATCTATCTCTGTCTCTCGATAGAAATGCTGCCAAGTCGCCCGACAACTAGAGCCACCAAGGCGATGCCGCCTCGCCGGACCACCCTAACTACCTACTCGCCACCTCACTCCATTTTTTCCAGCAACCTCTAGAGGAGTGAACAATGCGATTTTTTGGTGTGTGTGTGTGTATGGATTTTGATTTCAGATTGGTGTGGGTGTGATGTGTGCTTTTTCACAGAACCATCTTTTTCCGGCAAGGTGCGTGTATGTGTTTGGTGTGAGTGTGTGTATTTGGTATGAGTGTGTATTTTTGTTTGAAAATTTAAAATTGACAGTTTTTAAAAGATTTCTGAAAAGTAATATAAAAAGATGATTTTGGGAACATAAATTTATTGAAAGAAAAAACCTATAAAAAATGATGAAAATATGCTACCATTGGAAATAGGGTCCGCAAGGTCAATACGAAGGATTTAAATTTTTAGACTGGTGTGCGCAATAGGTAAAGTTATTGTTCATTTTCTAGTGATGAACTTTGAAGTGGCACAAATTTCTTTACCAAAAAAAAAAAAAAAAATTCACTCTCCACGCAAATACCATCCATCATTAAACCATCATATATTCACTACCCATGGAGCCCATATCCAGGCCCAAACACACCATCAAGCCTCTGGCCTCCATGAGTAGTCGGAAGAAACCCATCATTGCCCTTTGAGGCTTTGACTATTTCTTGTTTCATGGATGTTAGTTATTCCACCTCTAGCCTAGCTCCATTTTCTCTATGTTTTTTTTTCTAGCTATTAGCCTCTTATTTAAATGCATTGTAACGTTGCTTTTGGGAATATGATTAGAAAAGGGGTCGGCTAAATGGACACCCCATTTTACCATTTAGACACCCTATGTAATTTTTAAGGTATTTTTATTAGTTAAAATTACATTGTTTTTTGAAAAGATGATTAAAAATAGTTACCTATTGGTTGACTTTTGATAAAGATGTCTATAGGGTGTCTTAATAGCAGCACCCGAAGAAAATTGCTCCAAATGCCCTTCTCTTTCTCTACTTCTTGGGAGACTATTCATCTCAATCCGGTTACTATTAGTTCTCCTTTAAAAGCGTTGCTTTTACGGGTCAAATATGAAGTATGAACTATTAATTGTAGCGAATAATATATTCCTCTCTAAATACTTCTCTTTGGTGCACAAACCGTTTTTTCCAAATGAGATCAGTTTCGGTCAACAAAAGTCAAAACCGAATCGGTTTCAATCCTGTTTTTGATCAAAAGTATCAAAACTTATAGGGATCAGTTAGGGTCGCTTTAAAACCGGTTTGAAAAAAATATATTTTTCGTATTCTACAGGTGTCAGAATTTAATTAAACTTTAATGGTCGATCAGCAAACCGACAAATACATAAAACTTATCGGTATGACACGAGCGAGTGTATTTTCCGGGCATTCGGAACCGTTTATAGGGTTTAAAATTGCATTTTTCAACTTTTAATTCATAGAAAAGTATTTTTCCGGGATAGTATAAGTGATGAAAACCGGTCTTGGAAAACCTCTAAAATCTTGTATACATAACAAATTGAATAAATGATAGATGAAAACAATTTTTTTACTATATGAAAAATCAGCTTTTTATAGGTTTGGAAACCGGTTTTCACCCAAACCAGTTTCATGTGTTAAATCCTCAAACCGGTCTAAACAGACAAATAGGTTTCAAACCGAACCAATTTTATCCAAACTGGTTTCATTTTCGGATCGGTTTTGGTTTTCAAACCAGTATCCCATATGTTTGTCCTTTTTTTTTCCTTTTAAAACTGTGTTTCTTGATTCCCTCGCTATTAGACTTATGACACTCGAGGAGTATCTATAGAGGCATAATATTTGCACTTGGCTTTTACTTGTTTATTCTGAGTACTTGACTTGATATAACTAGTGTTTTACACTTCCTCCTACATACTATGTCTTTGGTTGCATTTCATGCTCTATGGAATCCTCTTCCAAAACTCAACAAAGTAAGCATAATGTACAAAAGAATATCAAGGCTGGAGTGCATTAATGAATATTAAAGTGCATTATTTATAACGATTAAAATTTATACCGCACAAAAACATTGAAATTTGCCAAACTATATTCTAAATCAAATTCCAAAGAAGTTAATAAGCTACCTTTTGTGTAATTTTGTTTGCGAAATATGTGGGAAAATGGTATTATTTGGATCAACTCTAGCTTGATTACAATAATTTTGCAAAAGTATTATTATTATATGGACCATTTTCTTTATACTTTTTAAACTTGTGAACATTCATCAAATAATAGTGTATGTTACATTTTTTGTCCTTGTAATTGGTTAACTTTTACAGATAACTTTTTTTTCATCTATAACATTTTTCCTCCATAAAATATATTTTTGTTAACAGCTCAAGACTCAAATCTATTCAACTATGCAAGTGACCATTTTCCCCCTACCTTCATCTTCATCCTCATCCTCAAGAACTTCTAAACTAAAAATTAAATAATTCATGTTTTACATCATTGCATAATTTCAGCAAACAAACAAAGAATGCAGAACCTTTAAAGCCTACAAACTACATGAACATATAGCAAGATTACCGAAAATAATCCACCTCTTAAAAGTGTTTTGACATATTACAACTTTGCTAAATAAGTAAATAACCCTTTTCCTGAATCATAAACCTCAAGAAAACCATAGTTATCACCTATAGTCCCACCACTTTCAATGCTTGTTAAACAAACCCCCAAATCTATACAAACACTTAAATTACATTTAAACCCCTTTCCTTGATCCAAACGTATACCCCAAAACAATATCAAATATCACCAACAACAATTTACGCACTTGCATTTGCATGAACAACACATGAAGCATCCGCATGAACCACAACCACATCTCAAACAATCAGGGCATTTCGGTAATTTCACATCCGGGCATTTCGGTAATTTCACATCCGGGCATTTCGGTTTCTTCCACCCACAGCTCGGTTTGCAACATTTCGGGCATTCGGGCTGCCCGATTTTTATGCAACAGAAACTACATGTGTTAGGGTTTGACTTTGACTTTTTTGGAAAGTGGAGATCGGATTTGATCTTTTTGAGTCGAGTTTTGGTCGTGATTGTTTCCATTTCATGTATGAATTGACAAAGATGGCGGATGTAATCAGGGTAAAGCTCTAAGTTACAATGACCACCCCCTTTTATCCATAATGGTTCATACGGGTCCTTTGCCATTTTCCATAATCCATTTCCATGTAGCCAATTCACTACATCATCTTCTGTTCCCTATTTCATTAAAAATGGTGTTAAAAAGACAAGTATGACCTTAAAATAAAAGATCATTGATCACAAGAATATATTCAAAACATCAACACAAATAAGTAAACACATTAATAAATCTTTGAAGAAGTCGAGGGAGGAACTTACATGTATCACAAGCGTAGGGCACTTCACCTTCCTGATTTTATTAACATTCTGCAATTGTCAAAAAAACGTAAGTACTCTAAAATTTCTTTTGGTCTAAAACTTGCCACCATTTTATCGCTATTGAAAGGCTCTTTATCAACTTTCGTATGACATGAAATGATAAAAGAAAGAACCATGTAAAGTAAAACCCCTACTTTTTGTCACATCAAGTGTCGTTTGGACTTTGGATAAATGACATTAAAAAAAAATATCCGAGAAAACGAATGTATACTTGGGGAAATAGAAGAAAAAGATAAACGAGGGCAAATCGGTAAAAAGTTGGAACTTAATTGTGAGAGCTTCTTTTAAAATAATTATTAAAAGATGAGATGATGAATTTTTGACCTTGTATATATCAAAGCAAAGTGTGCATTTCATATGACACACAACACGAAGGCCAGAAAGAATTGCACTATGAAGAACAACGCCTCTTAACCTCGGTAACCGGGCAGCTAAGTGAAGTGTGGGCCCACTTCCGACCGACTGCCCGTAAAGAATTATGTCTTCTTGGCTAACTCCATATTCGGTTTCAAGACACTCGTATACTGCCTCTATGTCGGCATATGTATTAACTTCACTTGGCTGAAAAATTAAAACAAATATTTTTAAGATGTAATGATGATTAAATATTAATATCTCACAATTCATTTGAATTACTATTATATTTAATGTTTTAGTACACAAATAAATGAAAATAAGATGTTTTAATACTCAAATAAATGAAAGTAGAATACTATAATAAACATATCTATGGAAGTATGTTTGTTGTTATTTCTTGGGGTTTTATGTAGAAAAGTCTTATTATTTTGGAAATTTTTTTGATAAAGTCTTAAATTTTCTTTTAAACAGAAAAGTCCTGATTATTTAATATTTTGCACAAATTAACGGAAAAGTCCTTTTTTTATTTTAACAAGGAAATGACATATTTTGTGATTTTCGGAAAATAAAAGGATTTTTCTGTTAAAAAAAAAGGATTTAGGATTTTATCAAAAGAAGTTTCAAAATATAACGTGATAAAAAAAATCTGAATCATTTATTGCCACGTGATCTTACTTTTTATCTCATACAACCTTTTTTTTCAGTTTAACACATAAAGTGCCCAAAAATAACAAGTCATCATTCAATAATTTCATACTCCATGAGATACCAATCGATATGCAATTCCCTAGAAGTTGATCCAAAGACTTTTACTTTTCATGGGATCTAAATTTTCTTGCAATTAAGTTATTTGGTTTCCAGTATAAATCGATATTTTATAAAAACAATTCGAAAGAGAACGTTATTTGGTTTCGAGTATAAATCGATATTTTATAAAAACAATTCGAAAGAGAACGTTAAGAAATTAAAGAAAAATTCATACTTTTCCAGTAGATGCCCCGTAGCCCGAGTAATCATACCTGTTTAAGAAAATTAAAAAATTTACAAACATCAATGATTATAAGACACCATTGAATGTGTAAAAGAAGTTAAGAAGCAGCCAAATTTGAAATTTCATACCCAAATTTTGATTGTTATTAGGCTAACTTTTTATAATTAAGGTGTACTTTATTAATCGATAATTTAAATTAAGCCGAAAACTTTTTGAAAAGCCAGATTTTTAGGAAGTGAACTTCTACTGTATATGAAATGACCCTAAGGAAAATCTACAGAACGTAATAAATGGGAAAGTAAATGTGAAAGTAAATAAAGACAACTATGAATGCAATAAAAATGTACAACTAACTTTAATTTTACATGTATCTTAATAATCAATTTTCCTTTCAACTCCATATTTAATTATCAAGATCTAATCTTTTTGACCTTAAAGAATAGAATATCTTATATCTAATGCAATTTAAGAGCTTTTACTATTTTGTATGAACTAAATATCAAAGGGTAAAAAAAGAAAGTTACGAAATTTTGTGACCCCATTTGGCAGAATAACACACTGCACAAAGACCACTATCTCTATCAAGATTCATCAGCTATTTCTTGGTTTTTTGTTCCTTCTTTATTCAGGTAAATGATCAGTAAAAACTGTTCATACTTTACAGATATAAAAAATTAAAGTGAAATTTTTGAAAAACTTTAAACACAATCGGAATACTATGACTATTTTAAACGATACAAATCTTGTAAAAATAATTTTAAAATTTAGAAAAAAGAAACCTTAAATTCTTACATAAAGTTAAAAACTTTGGCAGAAAAGGGGGAAGTGTGCAATTCACCAACCCTCGTGGGATAAGGACATTTCACATCGACAAATAGTTAATGCATTCATATCAATGCAAATCTTGAAGAAATAAAAAATAAAAAAATAAAAAATAAAACCCATTAACATTACATCAAACAAAATTACAAGCTAAACAAAATCAAGATCATACCTTAAAAAGGTACAAATTTAAAGAAATGTATGGAGTTTAGACACAAAGACAAGCAAAACCGAGTATGATTCAAGAATTTGGGAAACATAGAACAAAAAGAAATTAAAACCCCATAAAAATAGAGACACAAAAGGGAAGATTGAGTAAATAATTTCTATAAAAAAAAAACAAAAATGAAGTATAAAGTACACAACTACACATATTCATGGATAAAGATTAATAAGAAAAAGAAAGAACAAAGAGATATACGGACCCCATGAGATTGACTCGAAGATTAGCTTTGAGTTGAACAAAAAGGTCAAATAGTTGACCTAAATCAGCAGCATTGCCATGAGAATAGAGGAGTGTGAGTCTTGCATATGGGTTTTTCAGGTAAAAAGCTACGATCTTGTTGCCACTTTTAGTATCTAGTGACAATACATCAAGTGAGCAGCCGCCGCCACCGGCGTCATCGACGCCGCCGGTGAGGGGAATGGAGGAGGAGGTGTAGACAGCAATTTGTTTTCCGTCATCACATTTCTTGATCTGGTAGGTTGGGGGAGATGGAGGAAAGAAGGCGAATTTCGCAGCCAGATGAGAGATAAGACAACCCATTCGCCACCCCCGATAAGATACTCGGTCCAAACCCAACTCATGAATGCATGTGTGACGTTTTTATCTATACATACATGTATTTTGAAGCGATTTGAGATGGGTTTTCTGGATTTCTTTAAGAAATGGATATATCTAAACGGGGTTTGAAGTAATTTTGAAATGAAGAGAGATGGAGAGAGAAGGAGATGTGAGTTGGATACCCTCTTTTCGCTTAAAGATTTTCAGAACATAGAAGTAGAAAGGAGGAGGAGGTTTTCCGGCAAACGGGGTGGCGGAGACCGAGGAGATATAGAGAGATGGTGGGGACAGAATATTAGTTTGAAAGAACTGAGCTTTGATGATTCATTGCTTGACTATGGGGGACTCTCTCTCTCTCTCTCTCTCTCTCTCTCATATGAAGTCCAACAAACGACATCGTTCTCTCTCTCTCTCTCTCACATATGAAGTCCAACTGAACGACATCGTTTGAGCTGTACGATAATAGCGTGCACCAATGAACAATACTTTGCCATGATTTCTATGCGGTATCAACTTGTAATATATGTGGGACATTATTTTAGAGAAATATGATTTGTAACTTTTTTATTTAATTTTTTAATATTTATTATTTATTATAGTATTTGTATTTTCTCTATTTGATAATATATTTACTTTATCTTTTTAGTCATATTTTACATTAAACTTTCATTTTTTGGAGTAATTAGTCAATATTTTTAAAAATTAAAAGTAAACTAAATATTTATATCGTCTTTTTTGTATTTATAACCATATTTTTTTTTAAATACCAATATTAAATATAATGTGTGTTTAAGAACATCAAATTAGATGAGAAAACTATATGAAATATATCAAATGATAATAAAGAATTTATTGTTGTAAAAGAAGTTTAAAAAGAATGATTGATTATGTGTGGTTATTAATTTTTGACAAAACTGCAAAAATGGTCCCTATGGTATGCATTTTTTTGGGGTTTTAGTCCAAACCTCGATTTTTTTGGATTAGTGGTCCTTTTGGACTAGTTTGTATGTGAAAATGGTCCCTGTGAAATTTGAAATGACTATAATACCCTTGCGGTATTTATTTTTCATTTTCTTTCATTATTTTAAAATCTAATACTATTTATTTAATTATTTTAACAATTAA